ATGGAAGCTAGCTCCATTTAGGTGGTGCTGTGAGAAATGTGCTCCTGTAAAGTATTACAAGCCAAATAAACACAGGGGCCTTTTCACTTGCAGTCCATTTGCGGAGCAGAGTGAAGCTGACAAAGCACTGCATGGTCTGGCACAGAGCCATTTCTTCATTAAAACCTTAATCAAACATGTGCTTGGCTTTGCCCACAGCCCCCTTTTAATGTAGGGAGCCGTTACTCTTGGCAGCTAGGTCATGTGACCACCTTTTGGTAGTTGCAACAAAAGCCTCAGGGTTACAAGCTGTTCATGCAGAGATTCAAACCTAATCCCCTTCACTTTACATTGATTGACTTTTAGCCTCTCCAGGGTCAGTTCAAAACGACATCTGCAGAGCATGGGAACAAAGGAAGCTTCCGTCCACAAATAACACCACACCTTAGTGATCCCGTAGCAGCTGCGCAGAGCGCCAATCTGCAGGGCTGTCGCTCTGCAGGTCAGACCTCTGTGCCTGTAGCTCACAAGGCATAACACTGCATTACCAATGTGAAGGTTGTGGGCTCAAATGTCAGACAGCACACAGAAAGTATGACTCTTCTTTCCTTGAATAATAATGTCACCTTTAAAAGGACTGAATGCCTCTTTTTTAACCACTGAGCATCTGACCCTCTAAAACCCTGCTGACCATACCTGTCAAGTTTTGGATTTGAAAATAAGGGAAATTTTCCAGCACCCACCGCGAGCCACCCCACCACCCCAACCAAGCTCCAGTATCCCTTACATTTTAAGACGGGTGTACAAGAAATCTAAAATAACCACTTGTCATTTACATTTTATTTTCATTACACATTTTCTTTTAATTTCTCATGTTCACTCATGTGGCTCTCTGGCATTCACTAATGACTTATTATACAGATTTGTTGCAGACTTTGTATCCTTGTTGAAGTCGTCACAGAAGGTGAAAGTGACGTTGTTTTTCTGCACACAGCATTGCCATTTTAACCTCCGCATTTATGACCTGGTTAATGTTGTAAATGACCTGCAGATTACTGCAGGTGGCAGTTCTCGCGAGGCTACTGGCAGTTCAGTTTGGAGAGGCAGAGGAATTTTTTTAAAATGATATAATACGGGAGATTTACGGGAAAATATTAATACGGGAGGACGGCGGGAAAGAGGGGTAAAATACGGTAGTTTCCCGGCCAAAACGGGAGACTTGACAGCTATGCTGCTGACTATCTATATACATTACATGCAGGAACCAGGATGCACAACAGTATATAGGCATTTATTAGTTTTTTGGCAGTAAATCACAGTAACATGAAAAAGTTGCATGCTGGTACACAAAGTCTGAAATGGGAACCAGGTTCCGGAACCTACCACATTCAGAGTGTCTTCTGAGGCTTCCTGTTCAGCTGGTCTTGTCGGAAGCTGGGTAAGGACATTCAGCCAAGATGCGTCTCCTTTTAGAATGCAAACGGATATGTGGCTAGTGGCAATGTGAAGTTTTTTGGGGGTTTTTAACTGCTGCTGATGCCAAGCAGAGTTTGCATGAGCACTGAAAATCCCCAAAAAGCAGCCACCACGATGAGCTGCATTCTTCAGCTTCCTGATAAAGTGCCTCTTATTCTGGGATCTCAACCTAGTCACTGACATATCCATCTGCAGTCATTTTGAGTTGCTTTTCCTAAGGTGAGCAATGCATTATGGGCTATAATAAGCTAAGCCTGGGGAGCAAGGGCTCTTGTTTAAAACGTTGATGTTTTGTTACACGATGCAACCAGCTACCCATAAACTTATGGCAAGGTTTCAAACTGGATTTTAAATACAACAGGAAAACATGAAAAATAAACACTTTCATTAAATGTTTCTAATAAATGCAACACGAAACATTGACTATAAAATGTAATCCTTGTGTAAGCAGCAAAATGGCCTACTGGGAAGTTTATTGTATTATTGTATTGTGTTATTATTGTATTAAGTGAAAATATGAGCATCCTGTAAAGCCTTGTGCCATGTGCTTCTCAGGACAAGCTGCAGGCTAACTATACATATGGTTACGTTTGTAGTTAGATATGTAGTTAAAAGTGTGTAAATGGAACAAGATTATTGTCTGAGTTCTGAACTTAAACCGCTTCTGTGGTAAATTCAGAATTGGGAGTTATATTTTCCACAGACCATGATAAAAAAAGAGGTTTCTAGGAAGAAATTCAGTCATAGTGGAGGGATGGTTGGGTGCCGTAATACATATTTGAGTAATTACACCCCATATGGCTCCAAGCTGGAAGCATTTCAGTACGGCATTCTGCGGCCTCCCTGCACAACCGATAACCCTCCGTTAGTGGGTCCTACCTTAATGCACCATAATTAGGATATCCTCATTTCAGTACGCCATTCTGCGGCCTCCCTGCACAACCGCTAACCCTCCGTTAGTGGGTCCTACCGTAATGCACCATAATTAGGATATCCTCATTTCAGTACGCCATTCTGCGGCCTCCTTGCACAACCGCTAACCCTCCGTTAGTGGGTCCTACCGTAATGCACCATAATTAGGATATCCTCATTTCAGTACGCCATTCTGCAGCCTCCCTGCACAACTGATAACCCTCCGTCGGTGGGTCCTACCGTAATGCACCATAATTAGGATATCCTCATTTCAATTTGGTGTTCTGCACCTCTCCCCCCCCCCTGCAGAACCACTAACCCACCGTGGGTGGATCCTGCTATAATGCACCATAATTAGGATATCCTCAATTTTATCCATGTTTCAGTAATTGAGCCAGCTGGATTTCTGGGGCAAAGTGTGCACCAAGGACATGCTTGTTTTCTGGAGGACAGATGTCAGGTTTGGGAGCACAGATATTCTTATATCTTTGAGCAAATGTACCTCCCTTTTCAACCAGCTTCTGCATTAATTGGCTGAGAATGTCATTGCTATATACTGCTGCCACGATGATCATATCTGTCATATCTGCCATCGCTCACTTTCTTGTTGCCATTGGATTTGCACAGAACTGGGAATGGATGTAAATATCCATGAAGCACTCACAGCATTTGCAAATGGCACGTTACTACAGCAAAAGCAACACAAATAAAGGAAAATATCAGTAAAAGACTGCCTTATTGTCATACATCTGCTTTAGAGATTGTAGGTTAATACATATTACGAAGACGCTTTGCTTATGTTATCTTTGAATCGTGTCCATTGTGCGATGAGAGCCCCTCTGAGGTAGGTCATGTGATGTAATTGTTTTTGGAGTGCGAGGAAGTTGAGTGCTTAGCTGTCATCTTTGAAGGGCAAGCCAGATACATCAAAGCCACATGTGAAAAAGCTTCGAATGCCTCACGCATGCACATATTTGGCGCATACTTTGATTACCTTACTGTTCCATATGGAAAAGATCATGGTTTAGGTCTCTCCTTGAAACTACTGAGAGTTTAGTGTAAATATTTAAGAATATTTAAGAACTGAATAGCTTACGCAACTCGACCCACCATAAAATCACCCTAGAATGCAAGTCTAACTAAAAATTGAAAGCTCATTTTCTTTACAGTAAGTTTACTTATTTACAATTAATTAGAATTTCTCAAATGTTGACCTGTAATATACATAACAATTGAGTCTCAGTGTATGTGGATCTTGATTCCTTTATCAAAAAATAGTCAACTAAATTTGTGTGTCTGTATGTGTGAATGGCACATAAATATCTGAGTTATTTAATGGATATATAATTCATCTCCAGAACAAAACAATGTGGATAACTTCATGGAAATACCCCATTTCTGAAGAGAATCAATCACAAAGTTCATAGGGAAACATAGCCCAGACTTTTACTTACCTGGTCTTCTCCTTAAATTAATGCTGAATAACTGACGACTGAGGTTCAGTTAATCATTTGGTAACATTTTTTGGCCGAACTGCTTCTTTTCAGGTAAATGATGTGATCCCACAAGGGAAGACAGCTGTAACAGCAGTCGGGATGATGCCACCAAGCCCAATAACCTACAAACACCCCGTCTTACCTGTTAATACCTGCAGTCTGTAAATTACGCTGTAACATAGGTTATTAGGTTTTGTCCATTGGGCTTTTACTGTTCACATGCATGGAGGGAATTTATAAAAGGAAAATTTATTTTGATCCTTAATACATGTGAAATTAGTTGGGCTTCATAAGGTACTGTTTACATTATAAAATGAAATAGTTTGAAAGCATGAAAACAAACACTGTTTAAAATACATTTCCATTAAGAGGACCATGTTACCGTTTCTGGATATCATTTTAATAAGTCCAATACACTGCACCAAATGCTCATTGTACTAAGCTGGTCTCATCTTGGTATCAGTCTTAAAGCTTAAAAAGCTATAGATTATCTTTCAAGACATTATTTATCATGACAAATGGTTGCATTTTTAAAGTAGTGCTCAGCACCCTGGTTTTAAAAGGAAAAACTCACATTTTTCAATTCAAAAATATGCATACATAAATCAACAACAGAATTATTAAGAAAGAAAAATTACACATTACGAAATGAAGCATTCACATTTTTTCTGAAGAGCCATTTCGTTTTGGTGTGTTTGTAGGCAGACGGGGAACAGAAAGGGCAAGAATCCAGGTGACATATGTCTCAGTGGTGAGAGCTGCACTGTCGGGACACTGGCCTCAGTGGTGAGAGCTGCACTGTCGGGACACTGGCCTCAGTGGTGAGAGCTGCGCTGTCGGGACACTGGCCTCAGTGGTGAGAGCTGCACTGTCGGGACACTGGCCTCAGTGGTGAGAGCTGCAGCCGGGACAGTGGCCTCAGTGGTGAGAGCTGCACTGTCGGGACACTGGCCTCAGTGGTGAGGGCTGCACTGTCGGGACACTGGCCTCAGTGGTGAGAGCTGCACTGTCGGGACACTGGCCTCAGTGGTGAGGGCTGCACTGTCGGGACACTGGCCTCAGTGGTGAGG